TGGTCCTAGTGTGGCCATTCACTGCTATGAATTTTCCACATAGAACTGTCCCATAGTTTCCTGTATGTTGTGTTGGCATTATCATTTATTTTTAAAAACTGACTAATTTCTTCTTTAATTTCCTCTGTGACCCATTGATTGTTCAGGAGAGTGTTGTTCAATTTCCATGTGTTTATGAAGTTCTTACAATTTCTTTTGCTATTGATCTCCAATTTAATTGCAGTATGGTCTGATAATATACATGGGATAACTTTGATTCCTTTGCATTTATTTAATCATGTCTGTGAGCTAGTATGTGGTCTATTTTGGAGAATGACCCAGATGCAACCAAAACGAATGTGTATTCTGATTTTGTAGAGTGGAACACTCTAGATGTCTATTAAGTCCATTTGTTCAAAAGCTTGGTTCAGTTCTAGTATTTTGTTGTTAATTTTTTGTCTACATGGCCTGTCTATTTGTGACAGGGGGGTACTTAGGTCCCCCACTACAATTGTATTAGTGCTTATTTGATTTTTCATTTCCTTCAATATTTGTTTTATATAGTTGGGAACATTAATATTCCATGCATCTATATTTATGATTGTCATCTCTTCCTCTTGGATTGTTCCCTTTACAAGGATGTAGTGGCCTTCTTTGTCACTCTTAATCAGTTTTGGTTTGAAATGTACTTTTCTGTGAATAAGATAGCTACCCCTGCTTTTTTCTGGGCTCCTATTGAGTGGAGAACTGTTTTCCATCCTTTCACGTTAAGTCTTTGAGTTTCTTTTTGAATGAGGTATGTTTCTTATATACAACATATTGTTGGATTTTGCTTCTTAATCCATTCTTGCCAATCTATTTCTTTTGATTGGTGAGTTGAGGCTACTAGCATTGATGGTTATAACTGATGTGTATTGACTTATCATTGTCATGTTATTGTCCTGTTGTTGGCTCATTTTAATTTTTCCCCCTCTCTGTCTAATGTAAAAGTATATTTTTATTAGAAATACATGTAAAGGAATAGCTTTATTAAATGGATAAAAACTCTAGTTTTGCCATCCAACAAATTGTCCTAGATATTAAAGCAACCTTTTATATTTATGGAAAATGGTATATTAATAAGTAATTACTAGCTATATTGCATTACTTGGCAACTAGTTTTGTGCTATTAAATAGTAGCAAACATTAAAATATGTGTTATAATTCATTGATGAACTTTATTATTTTATTGCTAGATTTATCCATAAGCCAGGTCACATTATTTTTACATCATTGAATAGATTCAGCATGTTTTCAAGGTCAGTGACATTTCTGTTGGCTTTCAGTGGCTTTTAATGATTGTTTATATTTGGGAATGAATTGAAAAATCTCATCAAAATGCAGTTGTTCATTTTGACTGGGAAGCTATAATGTATGCATGGTAATTTGATTTCAACAGCAGGTAAGTAAAGAAGAAGGAAGAATGCTTATAAGATCTAAAACACTAGCTTGCAGGTTCAAGAAATTTCTTTAGTAGTCCTATCTGTAACCATTATTTAACTTCTTATGAAATCTGTGGTAACTTCCAATGGCTAAAAACCACTAGTGGAGAGAGATATTGAACAAAGATCAGTTATAATTTTTCTGGTTTTGAAACATAATCCAGAGTTATTAAAATATTGTAAACTATTTGAATACCCCTGAAAACATAAAATCTAATGAAACATATATAATTGTTTAATACAATGTTTCATTTGCCCTTAATTGCCATATTGCTATGCCAGAAGTTTATACATGCATTTATTCATGTATTTATCCAGTGGATGTTTTTTGAGTGCCTAAGTGTGAGAGTTTGTTGTGGTGTCAACTTGAGTAGCAAATGCCTAGCAGATTAGTTTAGCACAGTTCTGGGTGTGTCTGGCTGACTGGCTGATGGAAAAGGGAGGATTTACCCTGGAGGTCAGTGGCACCAAACAATGGGCTTGTACTCTGAAAGGAAATAAAAAGGGAAAGTTGAAGGTAATCTTGCTTTTGCTTCTTTGGAGGCCCTCCAGTCTTTGCCGTCATCTTTCAACATCTGCGTCCAGGTGTCCATGCAGATTCTGAGGCTCCCAAGGAAGACTCGGGCTTTCCAGTGCAGACTCTCAGTGGACTCTGCAGTGAACTCCGGGCCTTGGCCCTTCTGCATTCTTCCAATTCTGCAGGCAGCCATTGGAAGCCTACCTAGTGAGTCCTTTACATGTCATATATAAGTAATATTAAGTCTTTTCCTCCAGTGAACCCTGATATATTAATTGTGACATAAGTAATAAAATCTAAAAAAGCGATAAATTAAAAAGAAATGTGAATAAGTCACACGTGTAAATACTGAATAGTTTCTCTGGTGTGAAAAACTGTAACAGTACATAAGATCCTAATGGTATAATTGACAATGTGAAATAGGAAGAAAAGGACTAAAGGTGTAGGGAAAGTGGGAAGGGTAGGGGAAAGAATGAGGGAAATTGGTATAATTGACAATGTGAAATAGGAAGAAAAGGACTAAAGGTGTAGGGAAAGTGGGAAGGGTAGGGGAAAGGGAATGAGGGAAAAAATATGAGAAAATGAAAAAATGGAAATAAACTGTTTGTAAATGGGGAGGGGAGGGTGAAAGGAGGGCAGGGACAAGGGGGAAAAATGGGAACCAAGACCTGTCACATAAGGGTACAAGGTACCAATGATTAATGTAACTGTACTGTATACCTAAAATGTACCAATGAACTAAATGAGGAAAAAAAAAAGAGAAATTTGTATCTGCTATAATGCTGATGGAGATAAAACCCTCCTGCTGCAGGTGCTCATGGTAGTTTAATGATTTCTTACATGGGTTCCTGTGAAATTTATAAAAAATACCTCAACTCCCCCACCAGGTCAGGACAAAATGACCAGGTGATTCCACATTATTTTTCAGTGTTAGTATATAGCTAAACGTAAATGTGATCTTTGAGAGTGTAGTAGAAGCATGAAGAAGTTATCAAAGTCTGGACACTGGCACACAATGATCTGTTTGTAAAAGTTATGGTTGTTGAGATCAAGTGATCTTACTATTCCTAGCCAAATTTGCAATGTGAGTGAAATGACCTTTTCATCATAGTTTTGCTGAATGTTTGGCCCATTTAAGTGTCCCTCAGGGCACACACATTGAATAAAAAAGATACACGGAGAGTCATAGACCTGTCTTACAATGGAAACATTCATGAGAGTGCTGAGCTCATACAATGCGTGATCTCCTAACCTGACAAGCATCTTGAACCAAGGAAGTTATACAGCTATGACCGACGATGGTGATGGTATGTGTATGCGTGTGTACAGAGGTGTACTTCATCCCAGACACGTGGTGTGCTCCCCCATGAGAGGCAGAGTGATTCTCCTCAAGCAAAAGGACAGTGTCATTGGTGAAAGCCTTAGTAGTTTGTTTAGGGTCTGATGCTTTAGGTTCATGGGATTTTTGCTTTATGACTACCTTGACAAGATTTTAGAATTTAGCCATGGTAAACTCATTCCACTAACTTCATTTATCATGTGTCTTTCTCACTCTCTTTTTACCTATTTGCAGAAACTTGCCAGGAAGGGCACTCAGTAAGGTGAGCAAAGGCTGTTGTCTAAAGGTAAAGGAGAATGAAATTAGTAAAGGAAGACACTAAAACTAGTAAAGATAGTATGTGTTACAATTTAGCTTAGTAATTTTCATCCTACTCTTACTTTGCTGTTACTCATATTTTAAATCTAAAAGTTGTCTGGGAAACTAAATAAAATAATATAGGTAATTAATTTGATACCCAATTGCATTTATACAAACTCAGACACTAAGTGAAACTAACTGTACATTTACAGAAAAAGTGCAGGAAACACATGCATTCTGAAAATAATTATTGAATAAACACATGTAGGTAAACACATCTTAGTATTATGTCCAAACTGCCATAAAACCATTACATTTGTTTAAAAAACGAAGGTAGTAAGTTGCTCCAATATTTTTATGAGGCTACACACATTTTATAGGTTAACTAACATTGAACATAAGACCGGGAAACTCTAACTCCTACTTCATTGTACTTTGAGATAAACCAAGAAAAGAACTGAAAAACCATAAGCATTATTACAATAAAAATATTTATTATAAAAATTATCACATTTCTCTGTACATAGCTGAAACACAAGAACAAACTCATACATTAATAATTTAAGTGGGCCTGAGCACTCAGCCATCCACTAAAATTTGAAGGTTCATCCATCTATTTCACAAATACAAAGTAGACTTTCTATTTACTTACACAATTAATGGGACTGAGTTGCAAACATTTATTTTTTATTTACTTTTTAGTATTTTAAAGATATTTGCAGTGTTTAGGTTAATCAACTGCTCCGAATCTTTGGTAAATACAAATATTTTCATACAGAAATGTTTTGCTCAAATTTCAATAAAACAAAAATCTACTGCAAACAGTTTTGTGTAATCAATAAATGCACAAGTCAAAGCCCCACAATCCAGAAAAGTCACCATTGAGACTTTTGACAATAGTTGAAATCCACACACAAAAAAAAGGTTGTAGCTCCTATTGCTACAATCAGAAGCACCATAATAACTCTAGGATCCAGAGTCCAGGTCATCACAAAATTAAATACAGATGTTAAACTCAACATTTAAACAGTACTGATTATTTTAAAATGCAGAAAATTCTTCCTATGTGTCAGTTCATACACGGTTTGACGTAGACGAATTTAACATCTCAAGGTAAGTCTATTATCTTGTAAGAGTGGCAGACACGAAAAGACAGCGTACTGCTTCGAAAGACACCGTTCATCCTCTTCTCAACGATTTACCCACAGAAATACAAATCAATCCTTGGAATAACTGTGGGGAAAACAGAAAGATGCCGGCCTTTTCCTCCCTTCTGCTTTCCCTTCCATCTTCCATTTTTTCACTTCTCCGAATAACCTCAATTCTCCAAAGTACCACTCTCATTACAGCTTTCACTCATTAGCTCGCATTCCCAGCGATTCTCAGATGAAGGCATCCTGGGCTTGAGAACATCTTACTTCCAGACTATTTGTTTTTTTAAAAAAATGCTCCAAAAAGTCTTTAAATTCTAATGTCCTTGGGCCATATGAAAACGTTTAACAGCAGTGTGTGTTAATGCTGCAGTGCAGAGGATATAATCACATGGAGCAAAAACACAATTTTTAAAGCTTAAGAAATGGCTATCATTTCCGCTTCATGATGAAGAACAGCTCTAAACTCAGCTGAGTTTAGGTACTGCACAGGAGATTCCTTTCCCTATCAAGGGTTTTTCCAAACTACTGTTTCATTTATAAACACGGTAGGTTAAGGTCTAGCTTTGCTGTCACTTTGTCAATTTTCTTCATTCCACCTCCAACTTCCTGAGTTCACCTTTGACAATTCACCCAAGACTAAGCACCTGGCAATAAGCATTGGCTTATTGTGTGAAGTATGAACCGAAAAAGCAAAGGAATAAAGGAGTTTTAATGATTTGAAATTGTAATGACTAGAAAAGGTTTTACACAGGCCTAATGTCTTGCCTGCAACTCTTGAATAAAATGTTTTGACTTATTCTTCCTCTTTTAACTACAGTGAACATTATTTTAGTCACCATCCTTTTCTTCCTAGAACAAATACAGTTTCAGTGAAATGTACATTTATATACATGTCTCATCACATAGTATAAACTAAACTTTCCATGGCAGGAAAATACTGGTATCTTGTTTTATTGTTTTTTTGGTACTGGGAATTGAACTCAGGACCTTGCACTTGCAAGGTGGGTGTGATGCCACTGAGCTCAATCCCTAGCCCAAAATACTGGTATTTTAACACTTGATGTCAAAAGTACCAGTATCTTTTGATATAAGCAAGATGTTCTAAAATATCTTCCTATTGAAACTCCTAACATCTAACTTCTCCAGGATTTGGAGTACACGTAAGAGTTATTTTACATTACAGAAAGAGGATCTGGCCCTCGTCTAACTCCCGGAGTTCTGCCCTGCCTTCTCCTGAGTCACACAAACAAACACCATTCTTCAATGGATTAATGTCTTTGTTGCCATGATTTGTTTTTGTGGAAACAAGACTTCACACATAAACATTTAAGAAGCAATACTGCCCTAGGCCCACTGTGATCCCATAGAGTATCCCGGATGTTATGCTTCACAAGGCCATTTTTTGCTTTGCCAGATTCTTTGGTTCCTTGCTTGGGATACACCAGTCGTCAGCCTCAGAATTCATCTGGTAATGTTTGAAAGCTGACTTGTTAAAGACGGGGAGTTTTTCTATGGACTGAGAAGACAAAGCCTAAAAGAAGAGGGAAAAAATAATCAGACCAAAGAATTATGGATAACATGATTTGCACTTCAAGTGATTAATCAAAATTCATCCAGAGGTCAATATTTAACATTCAAATACATTTATCTCATTCATTTAGTAATAAGAATTCTGTAATATTTACAGTGTCTTTATACAACAAAACTAAAAAATATTATTTCTATTCTGTAGAATAAATCAGGGGCTAGAATTCATGTTCATTGTTTATACGTGATCTTTGGATGTTGCTGAGAATTAAGCAACAAAACTGTAAAGAGAGAGTCAATCTGATGCTATTAATTTGTTAAGAAGTTCCTTCTCATTGGTTTGAAGACATCTGCCTGCTTCAGGAAGGAATAATTAACTATTTCTGACAAAGGCCACTTGGCATTTAATTTCAATGCAAAATGGGAAACTAGAAGTTTAATGTTTTCAGTTGCTATTATCAGTAGGTAAATATGTTTTCGGCTGAAATGGTTGGCAAATGATTAACAGAATCAGGACAGTGATCTTAACAAATAAATTGAGGCTTCATTCCAAATAGAAAAATACATGCACAAGGTTTTAAAGTTCAAACAGGAAATGCCTGGCATCCTGCTGACAATGTGAGTGGTCAGATTTCCTTTCCCTGGATTTCTAATAAGGTCAGTTTAAGGTCTTGAGGTGTCTTGATTTCGTTGTTTTGTAGGCTAGAACACTATTAGCATTTTTACAAGTTTAAGTAATACAAAAAACAGCTACTCTCAGATGAAGAGGAAGTGGCCATAAAATATCGACATGAGTGTGTCTTTACTCTGAAACTTTGTTATTCTTGGGAAACAACTTTGCTTCGTGTTAGTCAGGTAGTACGGCCTAGCTTTTTTCTTTAGTGAGTTAACATATGAAATGATACGTGCTTACACATCCAAATAGAAAATTGAAAGACTTGTGGTCATTTATTTGCATTAATTCACTCTGGACCATAGAACTCAGAACTGTAAGAGAAGTGATCACCTTAGAAACAGGATTTTCAATGAATTCAAAGAATACCTTTAGATAGATGATAGCATCTGTTCCATAGCCTGACAATGAGTAGAGATTCAAATCTCCTTGAAAATATTTGGCATAGAGGCGAGAAATAGGCAAGCCATATCCAAAACCAGCCTAGTGGGGGAAAAATATCAGTCCTTAGTATAGAAGTGGATGTGAGCAGTGGAATACGAAATGCAGTAAAGAGTACTGATCCTCACTGATTAGGTCCTATAACCTAAGTAAGTATCTCCTGCTTCCAATCAGGGACCCTTTGTAGAATTGTTTTTCACCATCTTTAGCTTGCTCTATCATTCTTTCTCGTGTCCCTCAGACGTAATTTAACTAGAGAGGTTAACTTGTCTAAATTCTTCCTAGCAATTCTTGCTGTACATTTAGAATTAGGTGGTCAGATGAACGTAGCCGTACGATTGGCCTTACCAAAGGAGCCTTCCGGGAATTATCCATCACAGGTGTTGGCGCTGTGGAGTATGTGTAACTGAAGAGGCGGTCAGTAATCCTCAGCGGAACTCCACCTCCTCTGTCAGAAATCTGAAATGAACAAGTCATCAGAGCTGCACATTAAAAAAGAGAACTTCTCTATATAAAAACTCTTCCCTTCATTATAAAAGTCACCTATCATACATGCTTTTGATTCATTGTCCAATGCAGGGAGACTTATTATTACTGACCCTTAAAAAAGTTCTCTCAAGAAAGAACCAAAAGAAAAGTAGAGAATGGCTACCTTAATTGTAAGGTCTTCTTTTCCCAAGACAACAATCACTTCAACTGGTGTAAGGGAAGGGCAGTTTTCCTGGTGCTCAACTGTTGCCCTCATTGCATTCTAAGGAAAAAGTAAACCATAGGGAATTCGATGGTAGAAAAATGAGGAACAATAAATAACTTTATTACATTTAAGATATGAGCTGCACAGAGAATAACTCAGTTTCCATTTTTAAATTTAGTTTTAAAACTGCTCTGTAAATAGCCATTTATGAATGTGTCATCCAGTAAGTATAATGAAAAATATTCATTTAGCATGTGATATAGCTCCTGGGAGTAATGTCTAATGGAAAAACAATTCTGCTAGCTGTCAAGTTCTTATTTGTAAGCTTAATTTAAATGTACAAATTGGTTTTTATAGTCCATTTCCTAGCTCTCCCTCTTGTCTTTCCATTACGTTTCATTTCCAAGCACCAAAGATTATTACATAACAAATGAACAGGGAATCATTGAACCAATTTGTTGGCTTTTATAAAATATGCTGGAAAAAGACTGTTGCTATTTAAAAGGACAGTCAATAATTCTACATTAAACTTCAATTTGCCTTTGATTTTCATTTTAACTTTTACTAGGGATGGCAATTAACTCTATTAGTTGTATCATTCAATTTAAAATAAACCAAGTCAACAAAAATTTATCTTTGGTCCTTTAGCACAACCAACTAAAACATGTTTTCAGCCTACTGGATAATGCCCTGCAGATAGAATGTTGGGTTATTTAACCCATTCTAATGAACTCTAATCACCTTCTGGTGTATCATCTGCTTTCTGGTTTCTATATAATAGTATGTTTTAGTCATTAGCTGAAGTGAATGGATCAGATGTTTGTAGTTCAATGAATATATCACTGCAGGAATATTAGAATGTTAGAAAATAGTAAATTCTGAAGAGTTACGTCAGACTTAATTGTTTTAACCCTTCCTCTTCTCCCATCCAGGGAACTCTGGGAAAATATCACACAGTTTCAGGTGTCTTTCAGGTGTTTCCCTTTTCTTTTTGGTTTAAGTTCAGCGTTTTAGTTTGATGTTAGAACCCATGAAAGGACTGGTTCTTGGCATTAGTTTACCCTAAATAGAAACATCAGAATCTTCTGAAATGTATTATAGCGAGCCCTCCAGGAGAACAGTGAATGCTAGTTTGAGAAGCCTTGCTCTACAGCCTTCATGGTGTGGAATGTGAACCAGCATTCCAGTTAGCTCACTAGAAATTCAGAATCTCAGGCTCTAGCACTGACCGAATGAATCGAATTTTGGGTTTTAATTAAGTCCTTAGGTGATTCTCTACATTAGAGTAGATGACTGAAGGAACTGACTATTCTCTCAGGATATTCTACACTCAGAATGTGGGAGGATCACTTAGAGCAGCTCTGGATTTGAGCCTTTGAGTTTGGAGCTGTGATAGCCTGAGGAGATGGAGGTTACAAGGCACTATTCACTGGTGCTCTGTTGGACACCTGGAAAAATAATGGGAGCATCCTCTTGTTTCTAAAGCACTGAAACATCACGAAACATGTTGAGCATTCTCAAACATGTTCTGATGTTACAGTGAAGTGTGTGTACTTCTAAAAATATGGTCTGTGCAACTTCTTTCTGTCACTTCTGTAGCAGCACTAAAGTATTCTTGGGAAAGGACACTGCGATTGTTGTTTAGAGGGGAATGATGAAGAAAATGGAAATATAACTAGTGAACTATTTAAAGACAAAAACCATAATTATTATAGATTATCGTACCTTGAATAATTCAAAGAGCATATGATGAAGATGAGAGGGAACATACACGATGTGAATTGGTTGGCCTGGAGATTTAACTAGAAAAATGAAACTCATTTAGAATTGAGAAACAAACATTTCACTAAAATAAATCTCTATATCTATTTGACTAATAGTTTAGGTTTTAAAAAGGGTTGGAATATTTCTAATTCTCCCACCCAAATATTCTCCCGTAAAATTTTCTTACTAACAATAATGACAACTGGCTAATTTTTAAAATGGTGTTCAGGTGCTACCTAGTGCTCTATGATTAATCTTTGCATTTCTAATGTATGAAGTTGAACAAAGTGTAAAACAATGATACTATAAGTTGGATTATGTTGGTTTGATTCTATTTTCAACATGCTTGTACTGGAGAATTCCAGAGTTAAAATTATATTCATTTTAAGATAAGAGAAAGAAATACTGTTGCTTACATTATAACCTTGAAAATTAGTGCTCACTATAATTTTTATATTTTGGGTATGGTAAAATAATATATCTGAGGGCTTATTTGGTTATTCCATCTAAACATTAAATCTTATATGCTAGATATGCTTTAAATTCACAAGCAGGCTAAAGACAACAGTGAAACAAAAACCTCATGATAGTGTGGAAAAAGAAAAAGAAAAGTATTATTCTTTGGTATCCCAGCCTTGGCAAAGTTGGACTCAAAAATCACAAGGCCTAGGACAATGCCCTCTTAATTTCATCAGACAGTTCCCAACAGTTTATCTTCAAGTACGATGCAACAATGTCACTTATATTTAGAGATGTTTTTCCATCTTTGTACTCCAAATTCAGGTAAGCACGCACCTACATTTGCTTAATCCCAGTGTGCGAGTTAAACTACTGTACTCCTCTCAGCGAGTTGATTTTTACTTTTGACACTGACAAAAGATTATTTCTGTAAATATTACTTGGAAAAGATGTTTACTTTGAATAAAAAAAAGAAGGTTGTTCTAATTTCATTTATCGCTTTGCTTTGAGATACAACTATCTATCTACCCACAACAGGAGAGGACAGGATAAAAAGGTCTTGCATTCATCATGTGGTCACTTCAGTGTGGGGAGACCTTGGTGGACACCCTAGAATTGAAGCTTTTGGAGTATGGTCTTTCAAACAATGTATATATTCACAGTATTTTTTTATTGTGGTAAAAGCATTAAACATGCGATGTACTCTCTTACAAAATTTTAAATGCACAATTCAGTTCTGTTAACTATCGGTAACATGTTGTTACACCATGTGCCTAGAACTTACTCATCTGGCATAACTGAAACTCGAGATCTGCTGAAAAGCAAGTCTCCATTTCTCCCTCCTCCTAACTTCTGGAAGCCACTATTTTATTTTTGGCTTCGATGTGACTATTTTGGATGTCTCACGTATGTGAAACTGTGTACTATCTGTCATTCTGTGGCTAACACATTTCTTATAGTGCAATTTAAAATATTTTTATTTCTAGTTGTTGTGAACAGCCTCTTAGGAGCACAGCATATGTCCACTGCTAAACGTTCTCCCTACTTTCGATTTTCTTATTCTTCATGTCTTATAGTAAGCAAATCTTTTCTTGGCTAAGATACTGGAATTCAGTTCTCTTTAAATTGCAAATTATTTGTTCAAACTCTTTTTTAATGAATCATCATAAGTCACTGAATATGCACAACCAGAGCTTTCCTGCTGTGAGAATGATAGAGAAATGTAGCTTCAAAAATTTGAATAAGATTTTAGGCAAGTTCAGAAGAGAAAAAAGTGTTTAAAAAAGTATTATTTAGAAAAAGTAATTACACTAGAAAACCACTGAGTTTCCTGCAGTTTAAAGTACATTTTATTAACAGCTTACCATTCACTTGTGTGAGTTTCATTTCCGGAGATGTTAAATAGTACTGTTCGCAGAGCATCTTTGAACAGTCAAAGGCATCTGGAATACAAAATATTTCACAATAATGAAATGACTTCATGCCAATTCGTCTATGTGCACACTGGCCTTAATCTAAAGTATACCCTAGAAAATGGGCTTATGAATATGGAAAAAGTCTTTTTAATGCTTTACTGAAGAATATTTTGTTAATTCTAGTTCTAGTAATAGGAATATATGCACTCTGCAAATCAAATGTAATATAATCATGGTGTGTTAGCCATTTATGTTTAGGGGTTTTAAAACAGTATTATAAATTAGTGTTTCTATTCCTAACTCTCAAAAGCAAAGGACCTTGATGGCATATTTATAAAAATATAAATGGATCCCTGTGAACACAGATTCATTCCGAATCACCTTGTTTACAGATATGTCAGTCATATATTATACAGTGTCAAAAGAGTCTGCAGAAATCTAGAAATTACCTTGGACCACTGCTGCCACATCACAGTTTGGATCGATGCTTCCAATGTGGGTTGGATTTCCTGTCCTCTCATTATTAAATATAAGAACTGTGGAAAAATAAAAATAAGACATGTTGATATTAAAAATCTGTTAACGACTAGAGCTATCACTGAGGAAGAATGGGACATGTAGTTGTAGCATAGCTCACAATCTACACTCAGGGCTGTATAATCATGACCCTGAATGAGTTCACTTACTGTGCTGGTTCATCAGCATCCGAGTAGAAATACGGTTCATGTAAAATCGATCCAAAAAGTACTGAAGATTTTGATTGGTGACTGGGTCAAATGTACAGGCTTCTTTATACTCTATGATTCCTTGTGCCATGGTAGGGATGACATTATGGTGTCTATTTCGAACTTTGATGAGCGTATCTACAAAGCTAAACCATTAGATTTACAATTAGTGAAAGCTAAATAAGTTTCATCCATTTCTTGTCCATAGATGGATTCAAAGAAGGATTCTCTTCTAAACAAATCAAATTATAAAATGGTTGAGTGAGCTTTGTCAGGATTCTTCTACCTTAGAGGAGATAGTTTCATAAATAGATATATGTTTTGTTTCTAGGTTACATAAAAACTACCAGATCTATGGCCAGTACATTCATTGTAAGTATTCAATAAGCTTTCTCTTAAAAAAAAAAAGGAGAGATCAAAGATGATTCCTTAATGCCATTGGGAAAAAACTAAAAAATTCTTGCTAGATTTAGAAAAATTCTTTTTTGAGCAATTAGAAACTACCAGTGACTCTGAAAGAAAATGTGTAATCTATAATTTCACTGAAATGTTTTAAAATTTTATAATAGTTAATTCTCCTGAAAAATCTCATTATTGGACTGAATTTATAGTAAAAATGGAATTCCTTGAAGGAAGTGGGGAGGGGCACCAAGTTGTCTACATTTTTTTCACACCCAGCATCAGTTTTCTATACCATGATTCTTTTAGTCTAAAAACACAAAAATCCCAAATTTGTCATCTGTAAGGGGATAGTAATTTATCGTTCCATTTAATTTATAGCTAAAAATTTAGAGCATACTCTTAGGAGTATGTCAGCAAACAGTCAAGATTTTGAAAACTTACTTTTTTAAAAATTGAGTATATTGGTACATTTTAGGTATACAGTACAGTTACATTCATCATTGGGATCTTGTATCTTTACATGACAGGTCTTGGTTCTCATTTTTTCCCCTTGTCCCTGCCCTCCCTTCACCCCTTCCTCCCCTCCCCATTTACAAACACTTTATTTCCATTTTTTCATTTTCATTTTCAATTTTTCATTTTCATTTCAATGAAAACTTATTCTAATGCATAGAGCTTACTCTGATAGTGCTTTCTGGTCATCTGGGCTTTTCTCATGGAATTCCACCAAGTCCATTAGGCTCTGGATATACCTGTAAAGCAATATGAATGCTTTGTTATAACATTAGTAGATGCAAAAGGCTGCAAAGAAAATGCTATTTTGAAATTATTTGAAGAAAGCAAGCAAGGACTACATGTGAAATGAAAAATGCTCCTTCAGTACCCTAGGAAAATAGTATATCACAAATTTAAAAACTGTAACTTTTACCCTCAACTTCATGACTTTAAAGAAAAAGTCTAAGTTCTATTCCAAGTTGTATTCAGTTTCTGGATCATTTTGGTTGGCAAATATTTTTATTTTATAGTAAAAACCTTTAGAAATCACTTTAAAAAAAAAGAGCTTCATATTTTCTACTATAAGAAGAGAGACGTAGAAGGACAGCAGCAGTACTGACTCCAGCAGTAAGACCTACAATTTGAGTATATGTTTCTGACTGATTTTCTTATGGGTGTTGAGTTCATGTTTCTTGACTGCGAACAATCAGTCGTGTAGTCAATGGATTAGGGTGAGGTCCTGGTACATGTCTGCCTTAGTGCACATCCCAGCTCTGTCCTCTAAGCATCAGTATCCTTATTTGTAAATGAGATTATCAAGTGCTACTTGTGCACTAGATGCTGTTCTAAGTTTTTTTTTTAATGGATTACCCTCAATTATACTCAAACATTCATTTGAGGCATATAATCTATTCTCCGTAGCGGGGAGAACTGAGGCATACAGAGTTTCAAACACTTGCCAAAAAGTCTACAACTAGGGAGTGGCAGAGGCAGAATTTGACTGCTCCCTAAATAGTAGTCATATGAATCATTTCTCAGCATAGGATATCTTTTGCAACGTCAAACTGTCTTTTATTATGTAAAATGCAAATTAGTATTGCATGTGTTATTTTCCAAATTATTTCCCAAGATAAAATTATATTGCAAAGGAGTCTAGTTTTTCAGGGTAAAAAAATTCTGTTTCTAGCTTTACAACTGCCCTAATGATAACTTATCCTTAGTGAAAAATTTTTTGTACATCTTTTGAAAGTATTTACTATGTAGACCACCTGTTTTCCAATTATAGAATTAATATAAAAAGGCATAGTCAGGTAACTTTTAAAACTAGAGCCATCAAAATGATTCACCACTTACCAGCTTTTAACCAACTGTACTGAAGAGGTATTTACTAATCGATCAGGGAGGATATCAATTTCCTTCAGGATATTGGCTAGCCTCACCGGCAATTCTTGTCTCAAAAATGCAAAAGAAGTTCTTTCACATGCATTGTGTGAACCTATAATAAATGAAATTTCGTTAGTTTCAGGAAAACAATATCTAAATGAAATATTCAGAAATCATTATCAAATATTGAACATAAACATATATTAGAAAATCATATGTTGCTCTCAGTTGGGTTACTGTTTATAAGTAATTCAGGAGCAGGTATCTTTACAGGCTTTTGCTTTCTTTTTTTAAAAAAATGACAAATATGTGAGAATGATTATTCTTGTTTTTGATGAAGATTCACTCCCAAGAAGGCAGCAATAGTTCTTAATATTCCTGAAAAAAGCTCAGGAGTCAGTGACCACTACAGTATCGCTAACCACGTCCTTTAATGGGTCTGTTTTTTTTTTTTTTTTTTTCCAGTACCAGGGATCGAACTCAGGACCTTGCACCTGCAAGGCAGGTGCAGCGCCACTGACCTACATTCCCAGCCCTTAATGGGTCTTGCTATGAAATAGGTGTGGGAAGAGACGCGGAAGTGGAGGTCATGAGGCTTCCCCATGAATGGTAAACTGTATCCCTTTCCAATGCTCGAAACGTTCCTTAGAAGATTCCTGCAGTAGGTGTACAAGTATTTCAGCACTAATACAAACATGGAAAATCATAGCGGTAAAAAGACAAAGAATTCGGTTGGGAATTCAGAGCGCAGGCCTCTGTGGAGAGGTAGAGGGTGGCTAAGGGATAAAATCTATTAATTTCGGGCTACTTTGTAAGTCTTCTCCAAGAAATGCCACATTGGGAAGAAGGAGATAAAAGTTTCTAGTCCATTGTTAGGGGGTAGCTCAAAGCAACATTTCTATGACGCAAAGATCCAGGCAAACAGAAGAGGAAAGACGACCTGAAGGCCACCACCACCACCAGCAGCAACAGCAGCAGCAGCAGGGGTGCAGGTGGCTTGACCTGTAGGCACAACACTACTGGCAGCCACATCTATCTAGCAAAGGTGGGTACAGAAGCAAAGCAACTCCGGGCGCAGCAGCAGAGGGTCTCTGGTTGTCGCTTTAGCTGAAGCCCAGCCCTTCTAAGGTAGGCCCGAAAGTCAGGGCAGGTCGACAGCCCTAGCGCCACCCGCCTGGGCTCTGAGTCCGGCTCACCAAAGTCCAGCAGCTGCTTCATGGACAGCGGGGAAGGACTGTAGCGCGAGAAGAGCTCGACCTCTCGAGGCACCAGGCCGGCGCTGCTCAGCGAGCTGGCGCTGCGCATCACGAAGCGGGCCGCCTTCATCCTGACGCCCTCCGGGACGATGGGGCTGGAGCGCTCGAGAGGCAAAGGCTGCGGGAGCAGAACCGAGGTCGAGGGGGGCGCGGGGTTTACGGTTCTACGTGGAGGAGGCTGCGGTGGGTCGCGAGTGCAGGAACTGGAGACTCGGGTCCTGCAGCACCAGCGGCCTTTTATTTATCTCCCCGTCCTCTCTCCCCAGCCCAAAACGGGAGGAGTCACCGAGACTTGCAGCCAAGTCCAGAACTTGGGGCCACGCCAATCGCTTCGGAGAATGAACTTCAGGCCCCGCCCCCCGGCGTGGTTCCGCAGCGTGGTCTGGCGCTGAGACCCGACAGCCTGCACTGGTTTCGGGTGCTGTGAGGCTAAAGGGTGGGAAGGAGGCCAGGAGGGTTCAGCTGGAGCAGACAGACAACGTGGGCTCCAGATTGGCCACTGGGGACAGCGCCCCACGTCCCCTGGGCTGCGGGCCGGCCCACACTCGTCCTTGTTTACAACTCCAAAGCTGTCTCAATGTCACGCATTCCGGTTCAGAAACCAGTTCCAAGAATCGGGGCCCCGAGAGCTCATTGGTCGTTGCTCAAAGCGGGACTTTTACTCTAGCCAATCAGCTACGAAGAAAAGTAAGTTTCCTTGTCATTGGACAGCGAAAAGACTGAACAACATTAGTTTTCCTGGTGATTCACCAGCAGTTTAGCAGAACGCGGCAGAACTGGACGTTCTTTTTGCTTACCTTTAGGAACTGACCACGTGTACTTCTATCCTGTGGTAAACAGGCCCTCCGTTCGCCTCCAGAACTCTTATCTCTGTAGTTAAAAACAAAACAAAACTTACCATTCTATCAGTTTGACTTCGTTTTACTTCCAGAGGGACTTTGTTCACTCTCTCGCCATTGTCCGAGTTATTCTTACTTCAGATCTTTGTGGAAGGTATTCCTTGCTTCGCGCATAAACTAACTGCACCAAGAGGTCTTCTCTGGCTGCTGTTCTCTCCTCCTTCCAGAGACGGTCATTGTCATTCACAGAGTCAAAACATATCGTTATTTTTAAAGTTCTTATTATCCCTCCCTGATACCCATCCCCTAAAAGAGATTCCTCTAGCGATCTAAGTAACAAGACTGTGCTTCAGTTTCTATCTCAAGCACAAACTCCCTGATAGCCAGAGTCCTGCACTTAACTGTCTATATTAATTCTCCACCTGAATGCTAATAAACATCAATTTTAGTTTTCTCAGATCTCTCCATTACTGAAGTTCTGGCTGACTACCTTTTGTGTGACCTGCATGGAGCATCCTATTAACTTTCCTACTATTTCCTCTTTTGCCCATCCATTGCCCATAGATCCTCCAGAATTTGTGATTCCCCTTTCACTCAGATTTGAAACTGTAAGAAACAGCTCTGTGAACAACTCAGCATTCACAATCTTCCTTTGAGAGTGCGCTTTGGTTTTCAAGGATGTTGATAGGTGATCCTGAGGTGAATTAAGACTCTGGCTACTGCTTGCGAGCAAGACAGAAAAACTGAACAAAATAAAGTGAGACTTAGCAATTTGAAACACCACCATTCAAGCTGAATCAATTGTGGGAACATGAACAAGTTCCAGATTGATTCTCCTCTTGTAAAAGGATTTGATACCACTGAAATTTGTATTTTTGTGCTTAAAATCCTTTAGCTAATATTTACATGGCTTTATGAAGCAAGACATGTATTCAAAAAGCCAAAAGACTACATGGGCTGTCTTTGATGAAACAAGTAAATTTAAGAAAAATCTCTTTCTTTCTCTGGATTATATCCTAAGAACAGAAATAGAGTATACATTTGCTTTTTTTACCATTTGTAAGATCAGGAGTAGGCAAGGTGTATATATTACAAAGCATCATACTATAATCTTCTGAGAGAAGGTAATGGAATTGTGTATCAGTACACATAGGTCTAATTTAGGACAGTCCCGTTCCCTTAAGTCCATTGAGTGTGTAGCCTCACTTACTCTATGTGCTTCAGGGTGATTAAAGATCAGATGGATTCATACCATGTTCCCAAGGGGTAAAAGTGAACTGAGGTCATCCAAAATTTGTCTCCATAACTCATCCCAATAATATTTACCAGGTTACTTTCACAGCACATGGCATTCCTCTATGTCATCAGTATGATGAAGACTCATGTTATAATTAGCAACATTGCTGGTGGCTGGGCTAGAACAGTCAGGTCATCTTGTTTACCTAGTTGGCTAAGATGCCATGTGTTACCATGAACAGAGAGTAGCCTGGGAAGAGAGTGGCATTTCTATTCCTAAGTTTATCACAGACCTTGGAGGTTGTTCAGTTGGGGCAAAAGTGAAGATAAAAGATTATTTGAGGATGATGGGTATAAACAAATCCATGTGTTCATTTGAGTAAAGGCAAACTGTTGTCTGAGCAGCCCACGAGGATCGTAATTTGGCCCCAATAATAAATTAGAGAAACAAAGTTTAATGAAAGGAAGACACTTTAAGAGGAAAAGAAAGGAGAAAATAGATAGCAACCCAAATAAGAAAGAATCAGGTCAGGGGCTCTGAAAAGATGGATGATGTGTGGGCCCTTTGTTTTCAGCTGTTTGTAGAGGGGGGCTGAGTGACTCTTTCCTCTCTGCCTGGAACTTGGCATACCTGAATTGGCTTTTGGGCGCCTCTGCCTAACATCATTTTTGGGGGGGTCTATGTGTAGCTTTGGGGGGGCTGTTTGTTTACATGTCCTTAAATTACCTTTGAAGGCCTTACCTTTGGGGTGGCCAGCTAGTTGGCAAGGGGGTGCCTTATTTATGGTTAGCTTAGAGTTAATAAGGGGTGTGTAGAAATCTATTGTACTCCATAATGACCCTTGAGTGAATAATATAGTGACTCGAGTGAATACACACACATATATGTGTGTATTTAGTGCATAAGTGAGAGTACACACTTCCTTAAAGTTAGCCCTCATTGTTTTTTACTCTACTTTATTGGAAATTGTAGCAGCTTATCATTTGTGCACCATTTTCTTTGTGTCTTGCCTGTCATCTTTTTTTTTTTGGTCTTGGTGCAAGTGTCAAGGCCATTCAGTATCTTTTTAAAAATCTTTTTCTTTGACTTTTTTTTTTAGAGGAGTCTCTCTAGTAAAGTTTGTTCTTAACTCTCTTTAGTCAGAGTAAGCTAGAAGACCTAAGGAGGTCCTTATTTAGTTGTTGTTTTTATTGTTTAGAGAACTCTGTTCTTACAAAATCATGGAAAGACTCCTAAATGATTTAATCCTGGTGGATGGTAATCAAAACTTCCCCCTTGCAGACAGTGGTGAAGATAGAATCCCTGGATGAGACTCCTAACCCTGAAATTTTCAAGTGTACAGTTACCTAATATTAAATAAATGTACCTGGCTTGCCTGGAAAATTTAGTAACATAAAATTATTGGTCAAGGATTTTTTTCATTAATTTTATTGGTACATTTTAGGTATACAGTATGATGACATTCATCATTGGGAATTTGTACCTTTACATGATATATCTTGGTTCTTATTTTTTCCCCATTCCCTGCCCTTCCTTCAACCCCTCCACCTCTCTCTATTTACTTTGTTTACATTTTTTCATTTTCTCATATTTATTCCTTTCCCTTCCTTTATTTTCCCTACCTCCACTTCCACTTCCTCTTTAGACCTTCTCTTCCTATCTCACAATATCACAATATCATTTATACATTTTGATCCTTATTTACACTTCTAGTTTTTCATACCAGAGAAACTATTCGGTATTTACATGTGTCTGTCCTATTTATTTCACTTAAGAGTATGGCCTCAATGTGCATCCATTTAGCTATACATGTCTCTAGTTTCTCATTCTTTATGGCTGAGTAGTACTCCATTTTATACAAAAACCACATCTTCTTTATCCAGTCTCAGTTGAAAGGCAATTGTACTGTTTCAAGTTTTAGCTGCTACAAACTGTGCTGCTATGAACATGGCTGCAAATATATCACTGTGATATGATTCTTTTCATTCTTTTGGGAAGATACCCAGCAGGGGAATAGCTGGGTCAAATGGGACCTCGAATCCTAGTTTATTGAGATATCTCCACACTGATTTCCACAGTGGTTGTACCAGTTTGCATTCCCAATAGTTGAGAAGGGGTCCTTTTCCCCCATAACTCCACCAGCATTTGTTATTGGTTGATTTCTTGATAGCAGCCATTTTTTTTTTTGGAGTGAGGTGGAATCTGTGTTGTTTTCATTTGCATCTCTCAAATGACCAGTGATGTTGAATATTTTTTCATGTGTTTATATGTTATTTCTACTTCTTTGTGTGAGATGTGTCTGTTCATTTCAGATGCCTGTTTTTTAATTGGGTCTTTAAATTTGGGAGTCTATTTTATAAATTATTTATATATTCTAAATAGTAGACCTTTGTCCAAAAAACATTTGATACAAATTTTTCCCAAGTTGTGGGTTGTCTCTTCACTCTGTTGGTAGTTTTTCTTGCTTTGCAGAAGGGTTTGTTTGTTTATTTATTTTTTGGTACCAGACATTGAACTCAGGATCTTGCACTCGCAAGGCAGGCAGGCAGCGGCATCACTGAGCTAAATACCTGGCCCCAGCAGAAAATTTTTAATAAAATGAGATCCCAGTTGTTGATTATTTGTGCTACTTCATGTGCCACTGAGGTTTTGTTCATGAAATCTTTTTCTAGGACAATGTCTTGAGTTCCACCTAACCTCTCTTCCAGCTGGTTCAGTGTTTCTATTTTAATATTTAGATCTTTGATCCATTTCAATTTTAGTTTGGTGCACGGTGAGATATATAGGTCTAGTTTTAATCTTTGGCAAGTTGAAATCCAATTTTTCCAGCACCACTTATTAAAGAGGCTATCTTTCTTCTAGTGAGGATGTTTGGATCTTTTGTCAAAGATGAGGTGGCTGAGTATATCTGGTATAGTTTCTGTATCTTCTGATCTGTTCCACTGTTCTCAGTTCTGCTTCTTTGTCAGTACCATGCTGTTTTTATCATAGAAGCTTTCAGTATAGTTTCAAGTCGGGGATTGTGAAAACCCCTACCTTGTTTTTCTTGCATAGAATTGCTTTTGCTATTCTAGATCTCTTCTTGTTCCAAATGAGTTTTTGGATTGGTTTCTCAAGGCCTGTGAAGTATGCTACTAG